GCATATAAAATATCTTATAGGGTATGGATTTTCGTTGTAAGATCCCATTCCCATCTCGATTATCTGGTCGATCTGAGCGCTAAGCGGTTCAGAAGATGCAAAAACCCATTGATCCATTAAGTAATGACTTTGATTATCCCTTATTACATTACAAATATTGATCTTCTTTGATGCTTCGTAAGTATTCCCAGATCTTTCATCGTCTTGACCGCCTTCTATCATGAAAACATCATTTGTGGTGGTTATGAGGTCCTTAGTTTCCGCATCAAACAGATTCACTGGTGGATCATGAATTGGAAGATATTGCGTGAAACCTAGCCTATTCATGAAACGAGTGATCTTTTCCTTTGAGAAAGATAGCAATCCATAGATCTCACGCAAGTTAAGATCACCAATTTTACGGCCATGATTTAGTTGCACCATCAATTGATCAACCGTATACTCTTTTTTCTTCTCACGAATCTTCATCAATTTTTCTTCAACCTTCCTTGTCTTCTCCATCAAGTATGACTCGAGACTCGTCTCGTTGTTTATTCTCTCGAATTCTTGCAAGGCAAAAAAATCGCGTACGAGGTCTTGAGCTTCCTCAACAGATCGCCACACCATTGGTTCATTCTCTTTAGGGCTTAACACGATCATACAAGTTTTGACATCACACAGTATGGTTAGTTCGCTAACTTTTTTCACCAACACTACTATCTTTTTCTTCAAACTCGCAGCTCTTATATTTTTATTCGCCACCCATGCAAGTTTTATCTTTTTTCGTCCCATATCACTTTTTGATATGATATCTCTCTTTTTTTTGATTTATTATTTTATTTGGTTTGTGAGAAAAAAAAAATTACACTTGCAGATATAAATAGCGAGATAAGATGTATGATTTGTAAAGATAAAATTTTCAATCTTATCATGTCGGATTGACTATCCTAAAGTTTTTTAGAAAAAAATATACTTCTTTCTTAAATTTAAAACTTTATTACTAAACTAATTAATGCGTAAAAATGTAAAATTGACTAAACATTAACTAAAACGCGTAAAAATTTAAAATTGACTAAGCATTAACTTACGCAACAAAATAACTTATTAGACAAATAAATAACGTGCAAAAACTTTCAATTGACTATATAACAAAACTTATAAATTGACCTTCAATTGTAAATCATAATTTGTTACCAAAACAAACTATAAGATGCATTATCTATGTTGACTCTTATCGTTTATATAAGGTTTGATTTTTTAAATTTTATCCGTTTTTTTTTAAGATATAATAAATTTAGTTTATTTCGTGTTAAAGAAAAATTAATGAGTTATTTTGTCGTACATACATAATGTAATATGTTTTGAAAACCTTTCAAAAATAATCCATCTGCTTTTCAATAAAGGTTTTGATAAAAGAATCAAAAACAATAATTTTTTGAAAATTCTATATAATTCATATTTGTTTTGATCACGTATTTGTCAGAGAGAAACTTGATGAACCCTAGTTTGCTCTCTTGTTATGTTCTTGTACACAATTAAGTTTGTTGATCAATTAGAGAGAAAATTAGTCCACGTTTAACATTTTCCACAATATCGTTAATCCTCGCTAACACGAATTCGTAAACTGAGTAAACGGACAATACTTGGAGAACTAAATTGGACAAAAAAAAATTTGGGATATTTAATTGGATATTAAAAGTTTGGGGTGATAAAAAGCTTATCCTTACTTATATTTATTTTATTAATTTCACTAGTAACGCTTAACTTTTTGCAGCTGATGGTATATTATCGAATAGATCCATAAGAGAACTACACAATCCGTTGGACTACAAACATATGTCTCCAAAGCCAAAAGCTAACGAACTGCGTATGTGTCTGCGGAGCCAAAAGCCCAAAAATGGAAAACCAGATTGCAAAAAAGTATGCGAGTCAGTGTTGTTAATAAAATTCTCTTTTAATATTCCAAACTG